GTGCCAGTCCCACCCGGGTTTGGGGACAGGCCCGGTGGTAGGACCTGATCCTGCCTTCCAGGATGTCCGTGTCCCAGCCGGTAATGTACAGTCGATGGCCAGACGTCCCCTGCATGCACCCCAGTGCCCTTGCACGGTTCGCAGAGCCCCCAGAGGGCAGGGACGCTCCGGACATTTCATCTGAGCATCTCCAGTGCCCGGCCCAGCAGGGAGGCCGTGCGAAAGCGCCGGACAAACCAGGGCAGGGAGCCAGTAACGGGTCCATTTCTTCCCGGGGCGTCAGACGCAGCCAGAATCTCGGAACCGAACAGAACGTCGAAGCTGAAGGAGTCCTGTCCCCGATGGATACTTTCAGGTCCTTCTACAACATTCCTGGGGGAGCTCTCACGAGGACGAGAACGCGTCCCTGCGTACGGGCCCATCTTGTGACAGCAAGGGGACGTTTAGCCGAGTGTGGGTGCGGCCGAGGTGGAGGATGGGGAGCACGGGCTCCAGGGACGCCCGCGGCGGGTGCAGAGCCGGCACCGGCTGCCGCGGCCCCTGTTCCTCGCGGCGCGGACGCCAGGACGTCCCCGTACAAGCAGCACAGACACGATTGTCAGGCTCCAGCCCCAAGCCCGCAGGCTCCACACACCCGCCGTCCCGGCGAAGCCGAGTGCGTGGACATTCACCGGGACCCTCTGTGTCTCGGAAGCAAAGCCACGTTAACGGGGGTGTGGCGGTCCGCTCGGGTCCCTTCGCGCTGGCTGGCCGTGCAGATCGGCCGTGGGCACGCGGGAAAAATGTAGCGGGTTGGACACGATACACGGAGGGAATTTCTGAGTCCCCTTCGAGCCGCTCTGGCCGCTGCGCTGTCGAGGACAAGCGGAGAGATCCCCTCATCAGTTTCCTTCCAGACGGGCTGGCGTCCATCGCACGGGTCCACACAGCACATCCTGTCCCCAGGAGCGGCCAAGACGCGATAAATTAACCTGCATCGTGGGGGCGAAAATCTTCAGGTTCTGACTGCTGTCTCCCTCCTCCTGTCTGGGGAGGGCGGGAAGGGCCTCTGAGCTCACAGACTCTGACGGAAACATGTGGAGAGTTGTCACAGTCCCCTTGGATCTGGTTTCAATTTGTGTGGTTTTTTTTAATGTTTTTATTTATTTTTGAGACGGAGAGAGACAGAGCATGAGCGGGGGAGAGGGAGAGAGCAAGGGACACACGGAATCTGAAGTAGCTCCAGGCTCTGAGCCGTCAGCACAGAGCCTGACGCGGGGCTCGAACCCACGAACCGTGAGATCATGACCTGAGCCGACGTCGGATGCTCAACCGACTGAGCCCCCCGGCGCCCCTGGATGGTTTCAGTTTGTGAAAAAGCACCAAGCTGGACACTTCTGATATGTGTGCGCCACTGAAAACTTAAAATTTATGCATCAAATGAAATCTCACTGCAAGATACCTTATAACTTTTCAGTTTATTTTTTATTATATTTGGAGACGCAGATTTTACATGATAACTTCCAACCAACCATTGTACATTACATTGTACATAATTTTACACAGGCCATTTGAAAAAAGATCTAAAAATGTGCTTAGTTACTGGTATTATATAACGTTGATGAAGCACCAAGAGTGTGCTCACAGCTGTACAGAGGCAAACAGAGAAAAGACTCACAGTCCCTGCCTTCAAAAATACCCACTCCTCCCCACGTCTCGCACACAGAACTTACTTTTCACACCCTTTTATTCATAAGGCATAAATAAGAAAGTTTGTTGCATTTCTCATTGTTCATCAATAAATATCTAATACCCTTTCCCCCAGTTATACCAACAATCACTAATATCTTTGCCTTTGAATACAAATTTCCATAGTACAATACACAGTATACGCTGATTTGGTGTTTGCACGATTGACCACAATATTCTTGCGAGTTGGTTATAATATGAAGCATGTTGAATTTCAACATTCACAAATTGTTACACCTCTTAACAGAATCGTTTACTGTCGGCAGAGCTTTCTTGTTTGAAAAACGAGGTGCCGTCGCTCTTACGCTGATTAACTGTAAACAAAAACAGCCCTGCCTCAATTCCGATGAGGGTGTCAGAACTCACAGCACCTTAGCGCGGCGAGTGTCAGCACATCTGCTAAAGTGACCTGGCAGGTAGCGATCGCGTAGCCTCATGCCCTAAAATGCTAACAGGGGTGGCCAGCCCGTAATGGAGATACAGACAGACTCGCTTCGACCGTATCTGCATTAATTTAAAGAAGGGGGTAGTGGTGTGAAATATCCACAAATTGAGCCGGGAGACATTTTCTGCTTTTCTGCAAGGCTGTGTTCGAAGCAAATTCAGACTAGAAAAGAGGAGTAAGATTATTCTGAGTTTAACCCCTGGCTGAGGGGTTCTGATTTCAGGATAATCCCTTAAGTAAGAACATCTGATTGTTCACTAAAAGCAAGAGGAATGAAGTGAATTTTGATAGTGTGTGATTCCAGGCGCCGGGCGTGAGGAGAGGGTGGTAGGAGGCGGCGGCCACTGCGGGAGCCAGGCCAGCCCACGCGTCACCCGCCCGGAGCTCGGGGCAGCCGGAGATGAGAGGCGATTTTAGAGGTGGGGGGAGGTCTCCTTCCCAGCCACACTCTGGTCTTGCCCGCTCTGCAAATACAGGGTGGAGGGGCTGGAGTGAGAGGGTCCGGGGAAACAGGGCCATCCCAAGCACGGGGACAGTGGAGAGAAAACACCCGGCCGTGAACCCCACCTTCTCTCCACCCCAGGACCCCGAGCACCTGTCAGCTTCAAGCTGTTGCAAAGATCCAGAACGCGGCACCACTCCCGGCTGGGGTAACCCGTTCCCCCCAGGGCCGTCTCGTTTCCCAGGGGCGTCACCGGCTCTGGGTGCTTCTTCTCCATCAGGTCGCAACAATGTCGAGCTGAATCTTAAAGCTACACTAGATGAAGAAGCAGCCTCGATTTCTCTATACCTCCTCGGATAGGAAAAGGGTAGAAGAAAATTCTAGAGTCCTTTCTCTTCCACACATGGGGTGGGGCTTGCCGTCTCACACCCCACCTTGGAAGCTGGACACACGGCCCCAGCAGGGCCCGTGAGGAACAGGGTCTGCAGAGCAGGGGCTGGGCTGGGACAAGGTGTCTGTCATCCCAGGTCCGTGCGTCTCCCCTTCCCTGCAAATCATAGAGCAAGAGGTTGGGAACTGACCATCTGATGCTCTCGAGGCTCCCTCGGTGACAAGGGCGACTGTGTCACAGAGCCGCCTGCTCGGCAGATCAAGGACACACCAGCTCTCACGCCAGCAGGTGTGAATCGAGTGTCCCCTTTGAGGGGAGAGAAACAACCCTATTTAATGTACCCAACCCAGAACGGAGCACCAGAAGACTAAAATTCTGACAATAGACAGTAATATATGTATACATATGTGTTGTGTATTTGTTTTCATTTTCAATTATAAATCCTCAGTTCTGCATACTAAGGCTTAAGTTTCGGTCACCTAGCTGAAAGTCCATACAGAAACAGGAGAATAGAAACATGAAGACCCCCTAAAAGTGAAGGCTCACTGCAGACAAAGGCATCCGCCCTTAGCTGTTAACAGCGTAGAAGGTTCTGGCCGCCCCGTGTGGGGAACCGCAGAAACGGACAGCGCCGGCTCAGAGCGATTCGAGGGCCTTGGGGACCGATGCTGGACTCCTATTGCTTTAGAATCTGAGATGCTCCCCAAACCCCTCTTTCGGGAATTTATTACACCGTCTGGAGCGATTCTTCTCACCGTCCACACATCAACGGCCGAGAAGGATTCTTTCTGTGCAGTTACATCAAAGCACCATTCGACAGGTGGAAACGGAGGTCAAATTCTGATCCAATTACAGCAGCTTCCTGGACGCTGGAGAAACCTTGCTCTCGGGTTACTTAACAAAGAAGACAAGAAACCAAAATCGGGTATTTAGATAGACACATAGATAGATAAATGGTTAAATAGAGAATCTTTTTTGCGCTGCTGACAAGGGTTTGGAGCTCTGGAGTTGGTGTTGCGTTACGAACACCTCAGTGCCTTTATCGTATGATTGACAAGCTTTCGAGACCCACCGGGAATGGATTTGTGGCACACAGAAACCACGGTTCAGGTAGAACGGCAAAGCTCCTACTTCGTCTCTACTCTTCAAGGCACAAAGACGTGCCCACACTCTGCGGCTGGCGTGTGAGAAGCAGAGCATCCTGGGCCACAGGAGCCAGAGGCCAAGGAGCGGATGGGAGACTGTGGACGTGGCCAAGGTTCTCCGATGCCGACCTGACAGTGCGGTGAGCTGCTCTCCTCACTCGGGGTGCGGACAGGACCCCGGCCCGGGCCCCTCAGCCTAGCACCCTCCACGCCACGCCTGATTCACAAGGCCAGCTCCTCCCTCCCCTGTGCATAGGAGGAAGATCCAGAACGTTCCATGAAGATCTGCAATGAAGATTGTAATGATGACCGAAGGGCAAGGTTGAAAAGTCGGTAGCCCTTGATGCCAGCAGAGAAGTAGCATCCTTGGGGGACACATGCCTGTCACCTCACCTGTAACGGTCTGAGAACATGAGGGACAGAACCCACCCGGTCCTCTCCCAGCTGCCCCAGGCAGGCGCGTATTAAATGTCTGCCATGTAGCACGTCCCCCACCACGAGACTTCAATAAAATGGAAAGAATCCAATTAATTTTTTTTTTTTTTGCTTGGAATTCAATTTGCACGTTCTGGTCGTCCAGTACATTCCTTTGGTGGGAAAACATATTGCACTTCTGAACACGCATCCGAGCGTCAGTGAGTCCAAGCCAATGGGCGGGTAGGTTTCTCTCTAGGACGCAGGCTTCCTGAGGCGCCGCTTCCCAGCCGGCAGTAGCCTCCACGGCTCCGTCCCTACCCCAGCGAGCTGTCGCCACACGGCCCAGAGACCTCAGACCGCAGACCGAGACGCCGGCGGCCTGGGCTGTGGGGGGCGAGGTGGCCCAGGCTGTGGGCGGCGAGGCGGCCCAGGTCAGGCTTTCATCGTGCAGATGGGCACCACGATGACCAAGATGACCGTGCATGTGGCCGCGGCGACCAGAGCGGCGATCTTGCAGACCTTGGCTCGTCTGAACTCGGCTTCCTTACGCTTCAGTAACGAGTCGTAGCCTGGAGTATAAATATCTTCCATCCAATATTCTAAGTTGTTTGGGTTTAAAGATTCCTGCGTCTAGAAGCAAAACAAAACGTTAGAGACACGTAAGTACTTGGAACCAGGTCCTGAGGCACCTGACGTGCCCACGGCCCGGGGCCACCGTGACATCCGAAGAGCGGCCCCGCCCACCGTGGCCACCGAGGCCGCAGCTCCACACCCCAGGACTGCCCGCGCCCCGCCCTTGCGGCCCGTGCGCAGCGTCCTGACACGGGGAAGCCACGGGTCTCCCCTCTGCGGGCAAGCAGACTCGGGCCAAGGCCAGCCGGGCAGAATGCCAAGGGCTCGCACCCAGAGCAGGCGGGCGGGGCCGGGGGAGAGTCAGGGACCCTCACCGACAAATATTCCCCTGCCCCTCCCCCCGCCCCCGCCCCCGGCCCTGAGAACAGAGCCGTCTGAGGCAGGGCTGTCGTGTGGCTCTGATTCCGCTCCCGGGTCCTCCCAAAAGCGTCTCCTGAAAAATCAAAGTCACCTCGCAGATGTGCGGTTCAGACAAAATCTAAAATATTTCCATTTCAAACATTTGTCTGAGCAGGTGAGGCGGCCCCTGCCTGGAGTCCCGTCCACAGAGCCGCGCAGACCGCCCGCGGGCCAGGGGCCGCGTCCCGATGGAGGGACCCGCCCTGACATTTGTCCCTGCGTCCTCAGGCGACGCAGCGTCTGCGGGAGAAGCAGCACGGTGGCCTGAGCCAGCCCTGGACCCGGCGACGGCCCCAGTCAGTCCCCCGAAAGCACACGGCCAGTTCGCCTCGAGCTCTGAAGCACAAACAACTACCCATCTGGAGGATTCCTCGGCTTGTTTAACGCTCAACACGTGCACGCTCGGGTCTCTCGCACACACACAAGGTCACAGGACACTTCCTTCAAAAACCGTTTGAAAGCTGCGTTGTACCGAGTCACCGGGGTGTTGGTGCTTCTGACCTGGGTCACTCACTGGCCCCTGTCTTTCCCGACGCGCCTGTCGTCTGTCACCTTGCTCTGGGGACAGACGCACGCCAGGGGGGCCTGCTCGGCAGACGGGACGTGTTCTCAGTTCCTGCCAGGCGTCTGCTCCAGAGCCCTGGGTCTCGGGGGGTCTCAGAAACAGCCCCCTCCCTCGGGCTCCGATCCCAGGACGACAACATCGGTCACTGGTGCTGCTGCCCGATGCCCCCACCTCATGTAACAGCCCCTCCCGGATGCTCTGCTGTCACCACGTCGCCGCCATCAGCCTCCCACTGGGCCCGCCGCTGACCGTGCAGCCGGGTCAGTCCCCCGCGACCCCACGCACCCGACCGCCTGCCTGGGAACAGCCCACGAACCAAGAGTGGTCTCCATTGTTAGAAGAACAATTCACGCTACGTGAGCAGTAAGTGAAATTTGAATCTTGGTGTCCAGGATGGCACGTGGCGGGTCACAGCCACCCAGCAGGTCACCAAGCGAGGTCCCCTAGGCCTTGATGGCCACCCTCGGCCTTTACAACCCCATTCTAATATGTTCCATGCAGCATTGCAGAACGGGAAGGATGGGACTCAGGGGCCACCAAAGCTCCGCCAGGCGCCCTCCTTCTTGGGGCATGACCTGGGGGCGCAAGGCCATGCTGGCCAGCCTGGCACCCGCCATGAGCCACAGGACTCCCTCGGTAATGGAGCGTCTGCAGGCGCGGGGGGGGCCTCTGCAGGGGCCCCCACTACACGGTCCCGTGCTGGGTCCCGGAGCCGCGGCCTCACCCGGCTCCACCGCTGGGTCCAGCGCCATCTCTAGGCTCCAGCCAGAGCTCCCTGCCCCCAGAGCTCTGCCCTCCACGGGCATTAGGAGCGTGTGGCCCCGGCCAGGAAAGCCGTGCAGCAATCTCACGGACCCCAGACGGGAGCGGGGGACCCGGGGACCGCTCTGCCCGCCGCCCGCGGGGCTGGAAGGCTGAGGGGCAGCCCTCCGAGCCCTGCACAATCTCACCACGAAGGAGGCCTGGAGCCCACCGTGCCCCTCCCGCCCTCGGGTTTTGTCTCAGACGGAAGGAAGTCGGCCTCTTTGCAGGGTTACGTGCGCCTTATGGGCCGGGACAGCCTGCGAATAAGCTATTACCATTAGGTTTCCCGATAACCGCAGGCTGTAAGGACAACAGACAGCGGTGGCACACAGCGTCCAGGGACACGGCCGAGTGTGGCTTGTGGTGACCAGACGCCTCGAGTGAAAACAGGGCCCCCCACGGCCCCCGCCGCCGAGCGGGCGACCTCACGCCTGGACACCACGGGGCCCGGAGACTGTCAGACAGTAAAGCTGTGCTGACATCACCTGCGTTTCCGAAAAGGACCGAGAACAGGTCAGGCCGCGCCTCCCGCCTTCCTGGCGCTCGGGCGCCCGGCTCTGCGGCGATGAGCCCCTCCCCAGCTCTGTGCGGCCGGGACGCCCCCTCCCGGGCTGGACCTCTATTCTGAAGACCTACTTTCATTTCTGGGAATTTTGTGTTTATGTCTATAAACTTGGCGCGTTAACATCTCATGTGTCTGTAGGGACAAAAAATCACATGTGCCTCCTTCCCCCCGAACTTTAAAAGGACATTTCAAGGGGGCGCCTGGGAGGCTCAGTCAGTTAAGCGTCTGACTTCTGCTCAGGTCATGATCTCATGTTCTGGGAGTTCGGGCCCCGCGTCGGGCTCTGTGCTGCCAGCTCAGAGCCTGGAGCCTGTTTCAGTCTGTGACTCCCTCTCTCTCTGACCCTCCCCTGCTCACGCTGTCTCTCTCTCTCTCAGAAATAAATAAAAAACATTAAAAGAATTTTATAAAAAAAGACGTTCTGGGGCGCCCGGGCGGCTCAGTCAGTCAAGCATCCAACTCTTGGTTTCGGCTCAGCTCATGATCTCAGGGTTTGTGGGTTCAAGCCCTGCCTTGGGCTCCAGGCTGACAGTGTGAAGCCTGCTTGGGATTCTCTCTCTCTCCCTCTCTCAAAAATAAATATACATTTAAAAAAAGACAATTCTCGATCTATGACGCATCCAGTTCATCTGAGCCTTTCACGGTCAGGCTCTAGTCGAGCTGTCCAGGCCCCCGGGACTGAGTGACGCCCCCGCGCAGCCACACGGGCCCACCCGCAGGCAGTCTCACCCTGCTCTCCCAGCAGGACGAAGACAGGACAGGAAGTGGCCAGGAGGGACGCGGCGTGCAGGGGGTCAGAGGGGTGGGGGCTGTCACCACAAACCCCACTGTCAGGGTCTGTCCAGGGCTGCCCCTTGCCCCAACTGCGGTCACTTAGGGCCCAAGATACACAAATGTCACCATGGTCATCGTGGGGACATGCGGGTCCCCCGCAGTCTGGGCAACCCAGGAGGAAGAGCCTGGGCTGGGTTGGGTCCTGCACAACTTAGGCTCGTCCGGCCCTGGGCAGGCACTGAGCTCAGAACCCGCATCTCCTGTCTAAGCTGCAGGCGACCCCTGGGTCCCCGCGCCCCGTGCTCACAGCCCGCCGGGGATACATGCAGACCCGACTCATGTCAGGATCACCCAGTTGGCCCCTGAAACCCTTTCTAGCGCCCCCTCCTGCTGGGGACTGTCAGTGTCTTCTTCCCAAAAGTTCTCACGGCGGCTGCAAGAGACACTCGCAGGCCCAGGCCCGGTGCACAGGGTGGGGGCAGGTGCGGAACGTTCTGGGTCCCTCGGCGGAGGAGCCCAGCGCCGGGGGACGTGAGGTCTCTGCCCGCCGCCCCCGCCCCCCAGCCCCCGCTGCGGGCATCTCCCCCACCGCCCTCGACGCGTCACAAAGCTGATTCTGCAGGTGAGGACGGGGCGCTTTCCCGTGGGGCCGCGGAGACGCGGGCAGGCGCGTGTGAGCGGGGCCAGGCGGGGCTGCCCACCAAACAGAAGTGAGCCCGGCCCCCGGCCCCTCGTGCGGTGGACAGAAAACACGCCTCGGGCCGCGACTGCGTTCCCAGCGCCCCGGGGCGGCTCTCACCTGCGGCGGCTCCACAGGGACATAGTCCATAGCGCGGCTCCCTCGCACACGCTTATCCCGCGTGCTACACACGGAAGGAGAGATCAGCCTGGGTTTCGTTAAGCAGTTTGTCCGGGTCTTGCGGGCAAACGGGAGGGTCTGAGCCGCGCCCTAGCGACTCACCTGCAGGTCCAGGGCCGCCAGCTTGCCCTTGTCGCCCGCGTTCCTCGCGTACTCCTCGATGGTCCAGGAGGGCTGGCCCCGCTTCACCTCGGCCAGCTCGGTCAGCCGCATGTCCGTGTAGAGGGGGCTGCTCTTCACGTGGGCCCGGAGGGAGGGGGCGTAGGGGTGCGGGCTGAACACCTGCTCCACCAGGAGGCTGTCCTTGCACGGCTTGGGCCCTCGGTGCTGCGGGGGGACGCTGCACGGCCCGTCCGCCTGCAGAGGGACACGGGGGACACAGGGGAGGGGACACGGTACGGCCCATGGAGGCCCCGCGGACGTCCCAGGGGCAGAACGCAGACAGGAAGCACGCCTGGGGCGGGCAAGTGTGCGGCGGAATGGCCCTCAGCGAGCTCGGGGACAAGGGCTCACCTGACCACCCCCTGCAGCACGCCCACCGCTAGCAGCCCCCCCGTGCAGGCTGGGAACGGGGCCCAGAGACCCCCCCACATAGCAGGGGCGCACGGCTGCTGGGGGCAGCTGGGGTGCCATCGGCCCGTCTGGCTTCAGAGGAGCCTCCTCACGGCCCCTCTCCCCTGAGGCACTTCCAACACCGGGGCCGCCTGCCCTTGGGAAGGAAGAAGCCAGAGCGCACACGCCGGAGCCTCCGGCCGCGCTGACACCCTCGGGAGCCGGCAGCTGGACGTCAGCGTGGGGTCCCGGCCCAGGGGACTCTGTTCTCCCTGGACCTGTCACGCCGGGGTCTCGCATGGCCGCACAGATGTTACTTCCTCCAGGAAGCACTCCGTGACTGCCAAGGCTGGATCGGCCCCCATCTCTGGGACCCCTTAGGAGCGTGCAGACTCTGCAGGACGTGGCTGCCCGGCTCCATGTCCGCCTGCCCGCTGGACGGTGAGGCCCTTGAAAGCAGGGGAATGTCAGCGGTCGCCTTTCTCCCCGCCTCCTGCCAGGTGGGACAGCCGAGCAGAGAGCAGCCCGTCCGTGTGTGTCAGAGGGGTCGACACCAGCCACACGAGGCCGTGTACGTGGCCTGGAGACGTCAGGGGGGCCTGGCTCTCAGGAGACAGACACGCCCAGGCTCGCCGGGAAGAGCGAGCGAGCAGCCACAGGGCAACGGGCGGGCGTCGGGGGGCCGTGAGGGGGGGCGGGGGGCAACTTCCCGATTTGTCTTGCTTCTCCTCCCCACCTTCCGTCAGTCTTACCAGGGAAGGACTCGAACTGTCCAGGAGGGGCGCCCGGAGTCCGCGAAGCACGGGGAACGGACACCTGGACCCTCCCGCGCCGCCCCTGCCTGCGCCCGGCTCCCTGCGCCCCGCACCCCTCGTTCAGAGGAGCTCCACCAACCCTCCTGGATCCGAACCCCGCTCTCTCCCTGGGACGGACCGTCTGCCCGGGCACAGATCTGGAGGGACAGCCCGCCTCTGTCGGGGACACGCGCCAGGGCTGTCCCAGCGCCAGAGCCCCGGCCTGAGCGTGCGGGTTCAATTACCTCTTTGGATTTCCGGTGCCAGTCCTTACTGTCCCCGGGGCCCCGGCCCCTGGGCTCCTCCTCCCCGAGGCCCACGCGGCTGGCGTAGGTGATGGTGCGCCAGTCTCTGGGCGAGTTGGCGGTGCTGGCGATCTTGGATTCCGTGGCGCTGTTCTCCTCCGTCAGGGACCTGGACGACGGCCTCGTGAACAGGCTCTTCTTTAAGGCCTTGACGCGGAGGCTCTCGCTGTTGCTTCCGCTGGCGTCCGAGCAGCACCAGTCGGCCGCGTTCTCCGGTTTGGGTCCCCGGGGGCCGTCGTGCCCACGGAACATCCGGGGAGAGGCGCTCTCGTCGGACGGAGCCTCGCTCGTCCAGGAATTCAGGTCGACCTGCACGCCCACCTTCTCGGGTTGCTGCATTTTCTGGTCCAGCTTGTTGAGCTTGCCCAGGACCTGCGAGATCTCCTCGCGGACACCCGACAGCGACTCAAGCTTCCGCTCAATTTCGCCGATCCTGAGCACCAGCCTGCACACACTGGTCTTCAACTCCTCTTCGGAGTGGTGGCTGCTTTCAGGCCGGTTGCCCTTTTCCCCTTTGCCACCGGGGAGCCCGTTGGCGATGTTGGTGCAGCCCTGCTCCGGTGAACTGTCACAGTCTGACTTGTGAAGCTGGGACAGGGACCCTGTGCTGTTGTAGCAGGAGGACTGCATCACCCCCGTGGAGCCACTGACGCTCATGTCGTCCAGAAATCGGAAAATGTCGCTGATGTCATCGCTGACGACCTCCGAGTCGTCGTCGGACTGCTTCATGGCGTGCCTGTCACCGTACTTGCTCTGCCCGGAGGCACACGGGTCTTTGCACTTCTTGGGCTCCAGCACGTGCTGCTCCGTCTGGGTGCCCACGCTGCTGGTGTCTGAGCTGAGCTGCCCGCTGGTGCAGCTCATGCTCTTGTCTCTGAACTTTTTGACTGGCTCGTGCTTCTCCACGTCAACAGGGGACGAGAGCTCTTTAGACTTGAGCCCATTTGGTTTGGCCACGTAGCCAACGGGAAGGATCTGCTGCTGGTCCTTGGGCGCGGGGTAAGCGGGGCGCCTGTCTGGGGTTGGGAAGTTGGGGGTCTGGCCGCTGGAGCTCGGATAACGCAGCTTCTCCTCAGAGCTATTTCTATTTAGAAACGACCGTTCGAAGTCAGGGGCTTCTTCCGTGTTCAGGCTCCAGCTTTTGGCCGGCCAGGGGGTCTGCTTGCCCGGCCTCCCCGGGCAGCGCCTGGCTTCCTGCGTGCCCTTCACTGGAGTGGGGCCAAAATACGTGGAGGCTTGAAGGTCATCCAGGCTCTCGTGCTTTGCACGCCTTTTGTCCGGCACGGGAGAGTACAAGGGGTTCAGGTACTGGCTATTGTAGGGCATGTCGAAGCTGTGATTGAAGAAGGGCGTCTTGTGGGGCTCCTTCCGGCGCTGGGGCTCCCCGAGCTCAGCCTCTCCCTTGTCGGCGGGGCCGACCAACGTGGGGTTCACGGCCATCAGGTTGTGGAATTCCTCTTTAAAGATGTTCCTCTTCTGGACACAGGACTGGATCACAAACGGCTCCGTGTTGGAGAGGAAGGTGTCCTTGGCACCCTGGCTCAGGGGCAGCGAGTCCTGATCTGAGACGGACTCGCTCTCGATGTTCATGGGGAAGTAGGTTCTCTGCATCTCGCAGGGCTGGGGGCTGGCGAGGGAGTACGGCGCCAGGGCCTGCAGCCGGTCCAGGGAGGCGGCACGGCTCTTTAACTCCCTGCCCACGCCCAGCAGGAAGTTAGGCTCGGACGCGGGCACGAACTGCGGCGGGCGTTCCTTGTGGTCTGCCTTGCGGCCCTGGGACGACTGGCGGGCGGCGTAGCCCCGGCGGAAGGGCCTGTCGCCCAGCTCACAGTCGAGGGGCTCGCACTCGGCTGCGGCACGGGCCTCCGTGTCCGACCTGCACGACTCAAATGACGCCTCCTTCTTACGCACCTTGTGCCGGCCGGCGGGCAGCTTCTCCTTGGCGGCACCCCCGTTCATCTGGATCAGGTTGAATATGGTCACGATGTCCGCGGCCACCATGATCTTCTTCGACTGCTGGTTGTTCACGGTGCACTTCATCTTGTCCTTGAACAGCGTGGCGGGGAAGTTGGGGTCCAGACAGGCCGTGTAGAAGAGCACGCTCCTCAGCTTGGCCAGCTGCGCCAGGGAGCATCGGGCACACAGAGACTTGCACAGATCCTGGTAGGAGACGGTGTTCTGCTTGCTGTCCAGCTCTTCCAAGATCTTCATCAGGAAGAGGGACGCGTCCTGGCTGGTGTCCATGGCTGAGCACGTCAGAGGCTCGCGGCCGACACGATGCTGAATCTTCCGGTCCCTTCTACGGCGACAGCATCACAAAGTAGAGGGAGATGGTAAACTCCAGGGTAAACCAAGCTTGTTACGAACCACCTGGAGACGTGCAAGGAGAAGCTTTTTAATTTAAAAATGTATTATCAGCTTCGAAAACATTTATAGCATACAACTTTGTGACTCCCTTCCCAGGAGCTGGCCTTGAAGAAATTATCCATGACAATGATTTATGTATCAAGATGGTCACTCTGATGGTGTTTATGATAGTAAAAACATGAAACATCTTAAACGTCCAAATAACAAAGGAATGCCTAAATAAAATATATTGGGATACACCAGGACTCTTAGAAGCATTAAACTTAGATTAATGCGCATCCTTACGATGAACATCACCCACCGATAAAAAGGAGCAGACCACTGGTTAGGCAATGGCGTGGATGGAGCGCAAGGCACCGTGCACGCGCGAAAGGAGCCACAGACACAGACCACGTGCGTTAGGACAGCACTTTAATGACACTCGGGAAGACACGTCAGTGGTCACGGGGGCTTGACGTGAGCTGGTGAAGAGTGTGTGAGTTTCACTGCATGTAAATTACACCTTCATTTAACAATTACACACAGAAGACTTTTTTTGACAAAAAAACCTGACGCTATATTGAGTGAAAAACAAAAATAAGTCTGTATATATGTAAGAAGGTCTTAGTTATACAAAGTCATATATTCTTGGAAAGGAAAGAAAATAATGGACACTGAAATGTTAACAGCGGGTCCTTCTGGGTGGTAAATATGGATTTTTTCTTCTGAACAGTAATCTTCATTCCTTGGTATTTTATTATGCAAATTTTCAAACATACAGCAAAGTTGGGAGAATTTTATAGCAAATACTCATATACCCGCCATCTGGATTCTACCATTAATGCTTTACCGTATTTGGCTTCTCACACACCCCTCCCTCCAGGGTTGGGTCTATCTTACTCTGTTTTTAGTGCACTTCAGAGTCAATTGCAGACATCTGAACACTTCCCCCGATGCTTCGTCACGCACATCATTGACCCAACTCCAGTAACAGTCCATGGTTTTTCTTTTAATATAAGATCGACATGCACGAATCTTAAGGGTGCATTTGCTGAAGCCTCAATAAAAGCACGTGTCTGTGTAGTAACCAACCCCCTTGGAAAGATCTAGAACGTTCCCAGGGCCGCAGGAAGTTCCTTCGCAGCCCTTCCCGCTCACCTGTGCTCTGTGTGTAATGTTAGTTTTCTTCATCACTTCCCACCCTTTCTGAGATCCTGACGTGTGCTCTTTCGTCATCCGCACACGGTAATAATGAGCCGCGCTAACCAATCCTGGTTGGAAACGCTGAACTCTCCAAAGCCAGGGTTTCACGGGATTTCCAAAGACAGAGTGGAACCCATCCATCCATTCGCGAGGACCAGGAAATGTGGGGGCTCAGGACGCGCCTCCCGTCTCCCGTCGCGCCCTGGGGGCGGCCGACGAGCTGTCAGGTTGGCTGGTTCCACACAGGCCCGGCCTGACCCCTGCTTTCCAGGGAGCTGCGTCTCTGTGGGCGGGTTTCCACGGCTCCCTCCTGAGGACACAGCGCCCACGGGGAGCTCCCACTCGTGTCTGCAGGGACCACGGTCGGGATCTCCCCACGGGGAAGAGGCACACCCAGGGGTCCCATTCCCGCCCAGAAGGCGTGGCCAGGAAGCCCGCCCTCCCCAGCCAGCCCTGCACGGCCACCCCGTCCGTCCCAAGAAAGCGCTGGGTGTCGGGCCCTTCTGTCAGAGGTGAGGACGAGCCTGGAGGCAGGGGCGCGGCCGTGGGGGTCGGGCCCACATCCTGCTCCACCGCTGGGGGCTGAGCCCCTGCAAGGACACTCTTCCGGAACTGACCGCCTCACCAGAGGGCTGGGGAGCGTGCTGCCCACGGGGAAGCAGACCTGGGGGACGGGGCAGCCGGGGGCAGCCTGCACGGCCCCAGGCACCCCGACTCTGCTTCCCTGGGGGCTCCTCCCCCTCCTCCTCTGCCTCCCGGCCGCACACTTCTTACCAGGTCGGAGGGGCGTCTGGGGAGCCAAGGCCCCGTGTCTGTGGAAGGCCCTGAGTCCTGCTTCATCAAAACCGCTCACGAGCGGCCAGGGGGCGTGAGGGCGCAGGGGAGGCCCGCGTGGAGGCCACGGAGAAGCCCCCGTGGAGCTGCCGCCGGGTGGGAGCAGACCCGGGAGGCGCGGAGACGCGGGGCCTCTGCGCTGGCGGGCCCCCTCCCCGGCCGCACGGGCAGCCCTGCGCGTGGGGACGCCGCTCCCTCTCACAGACGGGAGGCTGAGGCCCCGGGAGGGGCCCGTCCGGAGGAGACGCGAGTCGCCTGCGGCCCGAGTCAGCGCGGCTGTGGGGCCGCCGTGGCCTGTGCGCCTGCCGGGCCCTGCCTGTGCCCCGGGCTCCGCGCAACTCGGGCCACCGTCCAGACAGGGGGCGTCCCCGTTGTGTGCTCGGGAGGGTCGCACACACGGACACACAGCCACACACGTGTGCAGACACACGCATTCGCACACACAGACATACACACTCACACTCACATAGACTCCCACACGTGTGCGCACACGCAGAGGTGCACACTCACATAGACACAGACAGATGTACACACTCACATAGCATAGACTCACACATGCGCGCACACATGCACACAGACACACACACACGCACATAGACTCACACTCACACGTGCAGACACACTCATCCAGGCCCCTCCCTCCCAGCCCTCTGGGAGGTGTGCAGACTGTGAGAGGTGCCGAGACCCCCGCGTCCCCACAGCGGGCAGCTGCGCCTCGGGTAGTCGGATCCCCGAGGACCCCGTCTGGCCCCACTCGACCCGGGCCAGGGGCTCCTCCGACAGCCCCCCCCCCACTGACTCAGAGTCTAAGTGAGCCCTGCCCTCCTCCGCCCGAGCCTGGGTCACGACATCTCTCACACGGGACACACGTGCCCAGGAGGGTTGGAACCCTACGGAGAAGTGGCCCCGGACTCAGGCCCAGAGGGACCAGAACTCCCTGGAGGGGTTTCCTAAAGCCTCCCGGATACTCCGGAAGTGTGGCCTTCGGGCCGAGGGCTGAGTGGAGAGGCCGGCTTTGGGGGATGCAACCAAACCACAGGCTGGGGCTCGGTGCCGGCCCTGCGGTCCACGTGACCTTGGCCAGGCCCCCCTCCCCCAGCCCCGCCTCCGTTTCCTCCCTGTAGCAACGGGCTTAATTAACAAGGACACCAGAGACAGCCAACGAGGGACAGGACCCCTGTCCGTGGCGGACACCGTGGTCAAGCCCGGCGCCCAGCCTGCGTCTCAGCCGCCTCGCGTCCCCCCGGCCTCCTGCCCAGACGGCATCAGGCATCTCCAGAGTCTGTTTCCCGCCGGGGAAAACTCCGCCCTGCACCCTCCTAAGCGGGGGCCCCTCCTCCACCTGGTTACACACCACCAGGCAGAAAAGGACAGGCGGGCTCTGGGCTCACAGTCTTCCTTTTTCTTAGGTTTATTTATTTACTTTGAGAGCGAGAGCGAGCAGGGGAGGGGCAGAGAGAGAGGATCCCAAGCAGACTCCGCGCTGTCGGCTCAGAGCCCAAGCAGCGCCTGATCCCACGACCCGGGGATCACGACCCGAGTCAAAATCAGGCGTCAGACGCTCACCTGACTGAGCCACCCAGGCGCCCCTTCACAATATGTCCTTTTATTAAAAATTTTCTTAGATGATCTTTTTTTAAATTTTTATCTGAGGGAGGAGCGGGGGAGGGGCAGAGAGAGGGAGACACAGAATCTGAATCTGGGCTCCGAGCCGTCAGCACAGAGCCCGACAGCACTTTATCTGAAGAACCTCGTGCTCATGACCTGAGCCAAAGTCGGGTGCTTAACCAACGGAGCCCCCAGGCGCCCCTTCTTTTTCTAAAGAGAGGGAAGTGGACAGCCCAGCGCCCTGAGGAAGCTCTGAGGCCGGAATCGCCCACCCGCACGGCGTGGCCCCTCAGCCCATCGCCCTCCGCTCAGCCTGGCCGCTCCGAGCACCCGCCTCAGGTCCCCGGCGGGTTCTGTCACAGCCGAGCCCCAGTGCGTGCGGGACACTGTGCACACAGCCGGGAAAGCCACAGCGCTGCCCCCACGGAGCCCACGGCCCCCAGGGTAAGTCCTCCTGGAAAACTGAGCTCACCGTCACGGTTTCCCAAAGGCCCGTGAAGACTTGGTGTCAGAATGGGCCCCAGGATGTGGGGCTCTGGACAAAGCCTGTGTCCACAGGAGTCCGGCCCTGAGCGTCAGGTCCCAGAGAAGCTTGAACGAGGGGCCGGGAGCCTGGTGCCGTGAGGAGAGCTCCAGACTCAGGAAAGGGGAAGGCCAGCCTCCAGGAGCCATCGTCCTCAAAGGTCATGAAGACTGAGGAGGGGGCCGGCCGGAGGCCTGGGGAAGGGGTGGGGGAGGGCCTGGGGAGGGGGCAGGAGGCGCGAAGGGGCAGCAGGCAGAGTGTGGTGAGGGTGGAGAGAGGGAGGTGAACTCCGGCAGCAGGGATCCAGAGCGGGTCTGGGCTCCACTCTGCAGGCAGAGGGGGAGGGGAGGATCGGCCCAAAGCTTGGGGTGCACACGCACCCCCAGGATGCACAGACCAGGTCCCCACGCTCTTCCCTTGAACACCCCCTGCGTGTGCACGCCCGCAGGAGCGCTCTAGGCCCTTCCGGCTCCAACCCAAGGCTGCGTCCACCGCAGCACAGCCTGTGGCCCCGGGAAGGGCAGGACCCAGGTGCCGGGCGCTTTACGCACGCATGCACTTCGCACGGCCCACTGTGGCCACGTCGCTGTCCGGTCCACGAGGCTAAAACAAACATCTGCCTTTTCACAGCCATCGGCGTTCTTAAGAGCCCGAGAGCTGACATCTGCTGTTTGCCAACAGAGCAGCAGAAAGGGAGCGGGGCTCCGAGGTCGCTCGGGGTCGCTGTTCA